ACTTCAAATCATTATGTTTGAGGCGTAGGCAGACTTCTCCTAATAGTGTAGGGACATGACCAGGTGGCAAACAATCTCCATCTTCTAGCTGCCTCTTTTTTAATTCCTTCCTCACATCTATGGAAGAGTCGCATTTGAACAGCATAGATGAAGCACAAACCTGACGTTCTGTGGAATCCATCAGGGTTTTTGTTGAAAAGCTTTAGGGTAAAAATACTATGCAATCTATAAACATGTTCATGAATGTGTACAAAAAGAAATAAAAGAAGACAAAGAGCTTAGTTAATCACTTCAATAAAACATATAATAAGCATAACAATAACAACATGACTTAAAATTGTGGATTATTTACAAAAAGTGGGAGGACAGGGCTCTATCTATGGTTGGGCTTCTAAAGTTAATTATATGTGGTTTAGGCTATTTTTAAAATGTTCCCAAATTATTTCTTATATCATAATCCATTACAGACTAGTAAGGCACCTCAATTTTCACCCAACATAGGCTTTAAACGAAAAGGGTTCAATCTGAGTGGAAGTGTTTCGTAGGCTCATGCAGAGACATGAAATCTCATGAGGGCATTGGTATTTCAATCCCTCTTAAAGGTAGAGCCCAAGTGAAGAGCTTATGTTATGCACATGCAAATGTATGACAAGTATATATATATATAATAAATAATCAAGTAAATATGAACAAATAAATAAGCAGGTACACACAAGGAAAATAAATAATAAAGTTGATATAAACAATAAGAGGACATAAAATAATTTCAAACTTATTAAGCAAGGCTTGGATAATAAGAAATCATTTACTGACTTGACTCTCAATATCCCCAGTAGAGTCGCCAAACTGTCATAATGTATAGATCCATGGACTTATCGCTAGACATGAATTAGAAGAAGTCGCCACCAATCTTTTTCTGTCTATGTGTGATTGATCACCTAATTTAATCTAATTTGCAAAAAAAAATTAGGTTTGAAAGTCGATTAAGCATGTAGAAGGTTACAGCACCCCCACAATGCCTATCAATGGATGGTATCGGTTTGATTTCAAATTATCCAAACCTTGATCATTTTTATGATTTACTAAATAATTTATTAATGAATTATTGATTTTTTGTTATTATAATTATTTTTTCTTTTTTTACTTTATTTTTTTTACCCTTTTTCTTTAAAAATAAAAATGGCAAAAATAATCTTCCCATAAAAAAATAAAACCAAAAAATAACAAAAAAAAGGTTAAAAATAAAATCAAAAAAACAAAATCAAAAAATAAAAAAATAAAAAAAACCTGTAATTGAGTCGGGTCAAGATGTGAGTCGACAAGCAGGTCTTTGGGTCAACACGTGAATCCTAGCTTATCCAAAACAGTGTCATTCCAAATAGCTATATAAACTAATTCCAACGTCTTTGCTTTAGAATTCTTTTTGCACTCTCTCTTTTTAGATTGAGAAGCTCTGCCTTTTCTCTAGAATTCTTCAAACCACTCACCAAAAATTAGAAATTCCACCAGTTTCTGAAAAAGTCATCAAAAAATTCAACTGAAAATTGAAAAACCATAGGTTTCTAGAAAATCTATTGGGATTCCACCAAAAAATTCAAACCCTACCGAAAAATTCATCTTTTGTCAAAAAATTCATCCCAAACCCAGAAAAACTCAAAAAACTCATATTTCTTCGAATTTCTCTCAGATTTCTCCAAATTTTATCCTAATCACTCCCATAACCTCTCCGAATTATCCTGAATCCTAATCTTAACCCAGAAATTTAAAATTGAACATACAATTTCAGCTTGAAATCCAGAACCCTAAAATTAAACTGCCATAACCTTTTCTACTAAAACTCTCTAGATTTTTTTAATTTTCTCCCCGTTTCTTCTGTTGTATTTCTCTGTGTTTTTTGTGTCAGAATCAATCCAATTTATAGGCAATCATAGAAAAATTTTAGGAAATAGACATAATCAATCCCAGGCTTGAATCCTGGAATTGCCTTCTGTCGAGACAAGACTTTAAGTCCAAAATTTTAACAATCATATTGATTTGATTTTATGTTGACCAAAATGATTTTGATCTTGATTTTTTCATCCATGTGCAGGTTGAATTAAAATGGAAAGTAGCAAAGAAAAAAAGAACAAAAAAGAAAATGAATAATAATAATAATAATAATAATAATAAAAGCATCTAATTAGATCTAAATGGGCCTGAACCAAAATGGGCCATAACTAAAATGAGCCTAATTGAACCCGAATGAAAATAAGCCCGATTGAGCCTAGACCAAAATGAGCTCAATTGGGCTCGGATCAAAATTGATGTCTACAAACTCCATTCTTTTTTATTACATAGGAAGAAACAACACCGAACGGAAATTGACTGCATTTGGTTGCACTACTGCAAAGGACATTTAGGCAATCTGGTAGCACAAACTGAACGTAAATGCTTCTCCTAAATAGGGTAACTGAGTTCTCGCCACACTTTCCCATTGTTGGAAAGATGCTTTGTCTATTGGCAAAGTTAAAAATCATTAATTTACTGAACAATAATAATTTGACAGTTTTTGCATTTTTTTTTTTTTTTGGGTAAAGAGACAAGAAAAAAGGTTTTAGTAATACACAGTTCATTAGCAGAGACAGAATTAATTAAGGCCAGTTAAAGGATGTCTTGATGAGTGCTGCTTCCCTTGCTAATTTGTACACCTCTCTTGCTAAGGGATGCCATTCCGTGGTAAATATGAGTTGCAAACCGTTGGATGTCATCAAAGTGCCGGCACTACGCTCCAGTGAGCCTTTGTGCGTCCTAGGATGATGTTCTTCCATTTGTTTTTGTCCTCTCTGCATCAAAAGTTTTGTTGCCTCAAATTCCTTTGCTCCGATTGTAGCCTGTCTCATGAGGAGAATCTTTTCATGGCATTTGGAGGAAGTTTCAAAGCTACCAATTGTTGCTGGATCCTTGTGTATGCCTAGAAACATAAACCAGATGTTCATGTTTTTGGCACATGAACTGTTATCTTCAGAGGCAGTAGGACTCCTGGAAATAATTGTTTGCCTATTATTAGAGTCATCAACCTTGAATGCTTCCCAAAAGGACCTTCAACGGGTTAGGAGTCGCTTCCTAAAAATGCACATTCATTTCTGTGGATCCAGATGAACCAAAGAATGCTCACAAATTGGCTGTAGAAATCATATGCTTCCTTTGAGTAAATGTCCTTAATCTTTAACCACTGTTTAATCCAACCAAGGTAACCAGACTGCTCTTGCAAGGGAACAGCAAAAAAGAAGGTTTCTACTTGTTGTTGGCATAGGGAGCAGAGGCCTGAAGAAGTGGCAAGTCCTTTGCTTTGCCTATTCCTGATATTCAATATTCATTATGATATGTAGGAAGCCCTAGCTTAATTTGGAGACATAAAACATACAATAACTGGTAAGAGGTAATAAATTTTGGAGAGACAAAAATACCTTTATTTTCTTTTTATAATTTTTAGACCATACTTAATAAAAACAAAATATTTTGTTAGTATATTATGGAATATGGATATTCAACATGTAAAAATTTATATTTGATGAGCCACATTACATGAACGTTATTTTTTTTTATGGAAATTTATATTAAACTAAATACTTTTAAATATAAAATGTAAAATATTTTTTTAAAAAAATTAATTCTAATTTAACAAAGAGGAGAAAAAAAACTAAATGAGAAGAAAATAGAGAGAGAGAGTAGCTGGAAAGGAATTAGGATAGAGATTCTTATGGAGCATCCAAAGTGGTTATAATGTCAAGTGTCGAAAGGATGTTAATTTAACAAAATTATAACTTATACAATAAATCATTAATTGTCCATGAAATACAACATGGAGTATAACCCCAATAACAAAATATTTTTATTCTAATTTCATCCTTTCTTTTATTTCAAATTGTTGTCTCTCTCTATTTCTTCATATTTAATTTTTTATTTTTTACCACACTTCTTTCTATTGATAAATTAAAAATTATTTTTTAAAATTGTTTTAAATTTAATATTCGAAAAGTATTTGTTTTAGTTAAATTTCATTAAATAACAAATAATAACTTTTTTTAATTTGTCACGTCACTTATGCATTTTTACATGATGAATTTTCACATCATATTTTTATTCACTCAAAATTAATTATAAATATACTAACAGAATTTTTTATAAGTTGTAGTCCAAAATTTATCAAAAATAAAAATATAGTGATGAATTTCAGTCAAATCAAAATATAGTGATAAATTTCAATTTCTAGGCTATAAATTTATCCTTTAACCATTTTGTAGTATGACCTACTTGTTTTATTTATTTTTGACTTCTTGTAATCATTGAACTTGTTTTATGAAAGAAGAAAAAAAAAAACCTTAATTAAGCGGTCAGAATGAAATGAAATTAACTGATATTGTTGCTGTCCTATTTCTTGACATGTGACACGACTGATTATTACCTTATTTATGCTTTATATCCACATTGATAAACTTTAACTTTCCCATGGATTTTTAACCAATTGAGTCCAAAACAATTGAAGTTGGCCCAAAATTTTTATTCAAAACAAAATAAGCATAATAAGCTACATTCTTTTTCATTAAAAAAAATTACGTTCTTTTCAGAATTTCAGTAATTAAACCATTTAGATGGGGTGTCTGTTTATTTTTTAATATAAAATAAAAATATTATAAGTATTAAAATTTAATTTTAACTTACTAAATATCATATTTTAAAAATAATTATATGAATCAATTGAATTAAATTTTATTTTGACGAATGTTAATTTTATTTATATTCCTTTAAACTGTGACAAACGTCGGTCGATTTCGGACTGCAAATATAGGCAAGATTATTCTTTATTATTCCTTTTTTTTTTCCTATGCATTCTTTCTCATTCTTTACATTCAAAACATATACCCAAACCGCCTACCAATTCAGTCAATGTCCATATATTACTTTGTAAGCAGCCTAGAGAAAAACTATTCTTTCTGGGAATTCTATGCTATAATTGAGAACATAGGTGACAAATGATTATTGATACTGAAGAACATTATTATACTTACGAAATGCAAGTTGTTTTTTAGGAAAAGAGGGAAATAAAACATTAAACATTAGTGTGCAAAAATTAAAAGCACATTCTGAAATTATTAACAGAGCAAAGCTCTTTGCTCGTTTCTGGTGATTAGCCCACCAACTAAATCATGGTTACACAACAAGAACAAATCAAATGAAGAGAGAAAATAATAATAAAGACGTAAAAGAATCAACCCAATACTTGACTTCTTCAATAACAAAATGGGTGAAAAAAAATTAAGCTGTTTAGTAGCCATTAGAGACTGAGTTAGGTTCAGAGGTGAAGAAGAAAGGTCCAACGGAGTAAAGTTTCATCCTCTTCTGACTTAGAACACGGAAATCAGAAAGAGTAGCGCCACTAATCCCTTTGTTGACATCCACCGGAACGTTACAGGTCTCCAATGGAGAGCTTTCAAGAAATGCCTTGCACTCCGTGAACTTGGTGAACTGGTCGTTGTCAAGGCCTAAGGGAGACAATGTTGCAAAGAAGTAACCCTTTGCATCAGTTTCTCCGCTGCAAACGGAGTGAGGTTTCTCGTACCCATTGTCGTCAACAGCTAGACAGGTTATCCTTGCCAAAGCTCCTGTGCTCATGGAAACAAATTTGAGCAAAAACATGAATTGAATTAGAGGCAGTACTCTTAAAAATTTATGACATTTCTAAAAAAACAAGTTCTAATTTCTTTTTTATACATAGGTTCCCGGTTTGGGGTTAAGAGAAAGTATTGCAAATGTTGGGATTCAATCTTAAACCTATTGGATGATAGTTCGTAACGATGATTACATGCACGAAAGGAACTAAACTGGGTTTAATAGGGTCTAAACCTTTAATCATACATATGAAAGGTTAAATAGTAAGTGTGTGTCAAATATTACCTTGAATTGGATAATACTTAGGACCTGATTTACATAAAACAAGCCCTTCAACACCAACTGGGAGAACTTCAGGCTTTGGTGGATAGATGTCCGGAAGCTCCGTGCCCTGTTGATCAGGCTTTTCTTCTCCTTGTGGTTTTCTAACATAATCATATGGTTGGTTTTTGGATGAATCATAACTATAGTCGTTGGCAGAAGCAATGACAAGCAGTGAACAAAGAAGCAAGGAGGTAGCGAACAAGAGACGGGTGATAGCCATATGGCTACGACTGTAACTATTCAATACCGTGAGCACTAAGCGCAAAGAGAACAAATATAGTATAAAATTGGATGAAGTACAGTGCAGGGCTACCCTAATTGTCTTTTATACATATATAGTATGAAGGTTGGAGTAATTTGCCAATGATTAACCAATAAAAGAAAGAGGCTTTAGAGTGATTTGGTTGCACGATGGCAAAAGATATGCAGATTTGGGTAGCACTAAGTAATAAAAGTATTACATGAATTTTGGCCAAAAAAAAGAACTAAATATTCCATGAATGTGTTCAAGGACAACTGTTTTCTAATATAATAATAGGTATTCACATACGTATATATAATCCTCCGGTGCTTGGACGGACACAGTACATATTGAATAATCTTTTCTTAAGTGATTTAAAAGCTAGCATTTCAAGCAACTAACCCGCCAATTTCCACTACTTGAAAATGACCTATATATAAAAACCAGTATTCGGTTTTATAGTGCATATGGAGTAACAAGAAGAGCAAATCAAGGTTGGCAATTAGGAAAAGGCTTTGAAAATGTTCAAGGCAGTTGAAGCTCATCTCTCGGGGAATCCTGATGCCTACCGTTAGTCTAACTTTTTAATTTAAGCCTGTGTATTTGTCATAATTTCCATTTTAAGACAAGTCATTTTTATAATATCTTTTGCCTAGTCTGCCAGTGATAATGGCTGGTTATTAAGAGAGCTTTCCGGATAGGAGAAAATGTTTTTTTTTTTTTTTGGAGAGAAGAGAAAGTGTATTGTTAATATTATATTACTTTCAATATTAAAAAAAAAAATACATACATGCATAGATACAATAATTAAGGTTACCCCCTTGTACGATTTTTTGGTTATGATCAAAAGGAAAGGTAATACCAATTAAATTGAGTTACAATAATCTTTGTTGTCAAGGTGAGGCATAAATTTTTAAAATGATCTATTATATTTTGAGAGATTACATTTCTAGATTTTCATTAAATATAAATATCTTATTGGTATTTTGAGTATTATTTTTTAAAAGATACCTGCATAATTTTCATTTTTTCTATAAATTGTACCTTTTATTTTGGTATTTGCATATAATTTTTATTGCATATAATAAATATACAAATGTGGACAAATTAACCCGCATGCATAGCACGAGTTAATTTTCAATGTGAAATATAAAAGGCATTAGAACTCACTAGGCGTTACGTTCAGAGTCCCAAGAACCACGTGGCTTGCCAACGCTGCTTCCAGCTTCAACTCCTCCGTTTATTTTGATTTTTTTTTTCACAAGTATAATTCACAATTATAAAACTAGTAATTCTTCGTTTGACGGCCAAAAAAAAACGAAGTAAAAATTTCTGGCCAGAAAAAATTTTATAGTCATTCCAAATTGAAAAGGAAAAACGAAAAAAGATGAAATTGTTAAATAAAAGGGGGGTGGGGGAGTTTCACCCATTAGCCTTTTTTTTCTTTTATGAAATATTAATACATAGACTTGGCAGACATTGCTATCAGTAATGTCTCAATATATAAGCTTAACATAATCCAATTAAAATCATATTTGATACATAAAATTAATGATGATAATAAATCAATTCGATTTTTTCAGATATTATATAATATTATAAAATTTTAAAATTCAATTTAAATCCGAATCGAATTTTCATTCAATTCAAATCAAACCAAATTTTACTGATTCGATTTGATTTATTGATTTTTAAAATTTTAATATATTTAAGTAAATTTTAATATAAAATTATTTTTTTATTTTATAAAATTTAAAATATATATAAAAATTAAAATATATATATAATTCGGTTTGATTCAAATTTTTTTCATTCGATTTGAAATTTAATTCGAATCTAATATATAATCATTAATCCTTCCATTCAATTCTCTTTCGATTTATAGATATATTGATGCATTAGTTCAAAGCCTCTTATCGACCTAATTAAAGATATTTTTGTCTCTTCTTATGTTAAATGCCTTTCATACTATTTTTCGACTATATAGATGAAGACAAATCTTTCCTTCAGAAATCGTCAATCTCTTCTTAATCATCACTTCTCTCTTGGTAAAGTCTCTTCCCAAATGGCTTTCTTCAGCTGGACTCTTGTTTTAACTGTGTTTATTTCCTTCAGTGTTGTTTCCTTGGAAACCCACACCCTGCAAACTTAAAACTTCATTGTCCGCTTTGAAAATGACCTCAAACCATTTAGGTTTTCCGGAGTTGAATAGTGGTACAGCTTTAAAAAGCCTAAGTTCTAACATCTTGTCTTCCAGAAATCCTACCACTTCCTAAACACAAAAAACTGACAATATTCTTCACATCTACAAAGTAGTTTTCCATGGCTTCTCTGCTAAACTAACACAACAAGCAGCCCAAGAGTTAAAAACACGGCATGGAATTCTTAGTGTTTTCCCTGACCGAATTAGCCAAATCCATACAACCCGTTCTCCTTACTTCCTTCGGCTAGACACCGCCAAAGCAATTAAAGGCCTTATGGACGAATCCTATTCCGATTCCAGTGTCATTATTAGCCTTCTTGGCAATGGCATTTGGCCTAAATGACACAATTTTCACGATAAAAATGTGGCACCTGTCCCTTCTAGATGGAAAGGAGAATACATCAAAGGTTAACAGTTCCCCAAAATGCTATGCAGCAAAAAATTTATTGGAGCCCGTTATTTCATCGACGGCTATCAAAACGGCATCCTCCAAAGCAATGACAACAACCTCAAATCCACCAGAGACACCATCAACCATGGCACGCATACAGCCTCCACTGTAACAGGGCACGCCACCAAAATCTTCTCTTTTCTAAGATTCGCGAGTGGAGTCATCGCCGGAATTGCTCAGAAAGCTAGAATAGCTACATATAAAGTTTGTTAAGAGAACGGATGCATGGAATCAGATATCTTCGCCGACTTTAACAGTGCCGTTGAGGACGGCGTTGATGTGGGATCTATGTCCTTCGGAACTAATAAGCCGCTACCGTATGAAAATGACGTGGTGGCCATGGCTTCGTTTGGTGCAATGGAGAGAAGCATTTTTGTGTCCTCTTCCGCAGGGAATTTTGGCTCCACCCTTTGAAGCGTAACCAATTTGCTCCTTGGATCACCACCGTCGGTACAACTACCTTTGATAGAAAATTCCTTGCTGATTTATATCTCGATGATGGTACCATTGTCAGTGGGTCTTCACTTTACAATGGGGTTGGCTTGGCTAATACATATTGGCTGTTGATTTACGAGGGAAACGCATCATCATACCGGGGTAGTACTTTTCTTCCTGCTGATGCTTGTTTCCCTTATTCGATTGACCTAGAGCTTGTACGTGGCAAGATCACGGTATGTAATCGTGTGAAGTTACACGTGTGTCGAAGGATTGGTGGTGAAAAAAGCTGGTGGGGTTGGAATGGTGGTTGCCAACGTGTCACGTATGGGTGAAGTATCGGTCACTAATGCTTATTTGATGCCCGCATCGGCAATTAGGGAATCCGCTCGAATTAAGGGTCCATTTGGAGGCAACTGAAGCACCACTGAGGTGCAGTTGTTACGGGTCGAGACTTAAATTTTAAAGTGAGGTGCAGTTGTTACGGGTCGAGACTCAAATTTTAAATTTGTGCGATTTCGAGATTCGAATATTTATTTTTTTGACGTCTCGAATCAGTCTGATCATCACGGTTCATATCTTTGTGAGATATTATCCGTTCTAGATCCCTCTGATCTCATAATTTTATTTTACAAAAAATATCTCACAAGACAAAGGTGGTGTGAACCTTTTTATACCCCAGTGACCCTTCTATTATGTTCGATATGAGATTCATGACTCTTCCTTAAGTTCGTGATATTCTCCTTCATTCAACCTCGTGACGCCCTCGTCACGGAGGTTGACCATCCTGCCTACCTCTCTCGAAGTGTTTGGCGTGGATCGAACAATTTAGGGTTGACTCTAATACTACTTGTCATGGGTCGAGACTCAAGCTCCGAACCCGTGCAGCTCCGGGGCCAAGGCATTCACCCTTCCGACGTCCTGAATCAGTCTGACCGTCACGATTCACATTCTTGTGAGGTATTATCCGTTCTGGTCTCCTCTGGTCTCACGGTTTTGTCCTACAAAAAGCATCTCACAAGGCGAAAATGGTGTGAATCATTTTATACCTCAGTGATCTTCTTATTATGTTTGATATGAGATTCATGACTCTTCTTTAAGTCCGTGACACAATTATTATGGGAGTAGGTGCGCACTAGAGCTTTTTTTCCCAAATGACCCATCAGTGCATTTGTTCAAATGCCAGTCAAATACCAGTCACATTATTTTCTTTTTGCTTTCCAATTTTATCCTTTCAAGATACTGTGATACTGAAAATATTTTTATTATTTATTATTTATTTTAATTTTTTATTTAAAAATCTTGAAATATTTTTTGTTAATTTAATATCATAAATAAATATATTATTTATTAGAAATTTTTATATAATAAATAAATTTTATAAATATTAAATAATTTAAAATTTTAATTATATACATATTTTAATTTAATATCTTTAATAATCAATTTATCTTCTTATCACAATTCATTTCAGTACTATTTTTACATTTAAATATATATCTAATTATTAATTTTAATATCACAATTATAATATTTATTTTTATTTTTATTATTATTTTTAATCTTATTAGAATTCAATCTTATAATCTATTTAAATAGGTCCTTTGGATTAATGAGATCTGCCCAAAATCGGACGGCCATGATGTCATTTCGTGGGACCCAGATAGGGACCAAACCAGCGCCTGTGGTGGCTTCTTTCTCTTCCCACGGGCCCAATCAGATTTCAATTAACGTTATGAACCCAGATCTGATTGCGCCAGGTGTGGACATCCTAGCGGTTTATCATGATGTGTTTCACCGACAGATTTACCTGAAGATCCCAGGCGCACCGAGTTTAATATGGAATCGGGTATTCAATAGCCTGCCCACACGTGTCAGAAATCGCTGCACTTCCGAATGGCGACCGACCTGAGTGGTCCCCAGCTATGATACGATCAGCTCTAATTACCACTTCTTACACCTAAGATCAAGATGGCCAAGCACTGCTAGATGAGAAGGATCTGAAGGTTGGTGACGCTTGGGCCATGGGCGGGACACCTGGACCCAGACAAAGCCCATGATCCAGGACTCATATACGATCTGACGGTTGATCATTATTTGATTTTACTCTGTCCAACTTGGGTTTGGCTCAAATCAAGGTTATAACCAGAAGGGCAGTGAACTGCAGTCAAGCTCAAAATCTGAATCCCTGGAACTTGAACTACCCAGCTATCTCTATTGCTTTTGATGCATCAAGACCGTACAATGCGGAAGTTCTGGTCACTGGAACGGTTATTCAAATTCAAAAGTATAATTTAAAAATAATAAAAAATTAAATGAATTAATCAAATTAAATCCTATTAAAATAATTTTATTACTTTTTTTTGGATTTAAAATTCTTTTGGGTTGTTAAATTTTGCAGTTCTCCAAGGCTAACCTAAGGCCTTCTTCGTATAATTAAATGTGGCCCACAACAATATTGTTTGGACTAGAAAGGCCCATAAAAGTATAACCATGACCCGAGCATGAACCCCTCACCATTAATGTTATAAACCCGGACCCCTACCCGGTCCAAACAGGAAGGAAAACCAGCAGCTCCCCTAAACCCTAGAGTTATTGCGGTCCTATAAGTAAGTCCCTATCTCCAATTTCTTTCCCTTTTCTGCGAACAGCAGCCGCCGGCTGCACACCAAACAGATAGAGAAAGAGAAAGGAAGAAATGGTTTCGCTTAAGCTCCAGAAACGGCTCTCAGCGAGCGTTCTAAAGTGCGGAAAAGGAAAGGTTTGGCTGGATCCAAATGAAGTCAACGAGATCTCCATGGCCAATTCCCGTACGTCTTCTTCTTCTCTTGCGTTTGCGTCGTTTGTTGCCAAATAAATTGGTGAAAATGAAGCTCAGAGCATATATTTGTGTGTGTATATATATATATATATATATTAACTGAGGTATATGCATATAAATATTTATATAATTTAACTGTGGTTTAAGCAGTTGCTGGAAAATGAAAGCTGAGACGCCGAAGTTTTAAACTTTCAGGAATTGAATATATAATATTGACAGCATTTCGTTTTTTTTTTTTTTTTCTGATTAGTGATTTGTAACAGCAAAGTTTTATATAGTTTGCGGATATGAGCCTTAGTCTCTAATTATTCCATTGTTTATTTGTTAACTGTTTCCAAATATTAGTTGGAAAAAATTAGAAAAGATCAGGGATTACCAGTTTTCCGCATGAGAAATATCAAAATTTCACATACTACCGTTTTCTGCTTCGCCCTTGTATGTATACGTTGGAGTAATAGGGTGCACTTGAATCAATCTCATTTCTATCATTTGCCTAATGAATAATTTACTTTGACAGACACATTGTTAATTTCTTGTTTGCTCCACTAATATGTAAAAAAGGATTCTTCATATTTTCTTAGCTGTAGACTCTGAACAATTGATAGCAAGTTCAAGTTGATGTAATATGTTTTTCTTAACAGATTGAATATTCCATTTACTCCTTCATGTTATTTTTGGTTATTTTCTTTCACTCTAGCAAAAAATGTTGTTCTGTTTTTTATTGCTTGATTATCATTATTTTCTTATTTGAATTGGAAAGAGCAGGCCAGAACATAAGGAAGTTGGTTAAAGATGGTTTTATCATCAGGAAGCCAACCAAGATTCACTCTCGATCTCGTGCACGTCGCATGAAGGAAGCCAAGAGAAAGGGACGCCATTCTGGATATGGTTTGTTTTTTTAATTTACTTTGTGAATATGAGATTTACTGGATTTGATGTTATTTATAGGCGCAGAGTATTTTAATAACTTTGTTACATGCACACAAATTATTTACCATGTTGAAATCAGATTATATTCTTGATTACTCAGTCATGTTTTTGAAGTTAGGATGCCCAAAATCATATAAATAAAAGATTAAATGAAGTATCGTTGAGATTTTTATCCTGCTAGGTGTCGTTTGTTAGCCATAAGAAAGTTGTGATGCATCTTGGGAAAATGTATGTATTGATTATCTGGGTTTTAACTTCTATGTCGATTCTAGGTAAGCGCAAGGGTACCAGGGAGGCAAGGTTGCCCACAAAGGTCTTGTGGATGAGAAGAATGCGTGTTCTCAGACGCTTGCTTCGCAAGTATAGGGAATCAAAAAAGATTGACAAGCACATGTACCATGACATGTACATGAAAGTCAAGGGTAATGTTTTTAAGAACAAGAGAGTCCTCATGGAGAGCATCCACAAATCTAAAGCAGAGAAGGCCAGAGAGAAGACATTGTCTGACCAGTTCGAAGCTAAGAGGGCTAAGAATAAGGCAAGCAGGGAGAGAAAATTTGCTAGGAGGGAGGAGCGTTTGGCCCAGGTAAGAGCTTCTGTACTATGTGGTGCTTCTGGCTTGACTCAGCATAATAATTTTTTTTCCTGTTTCCTTTTCTTTATATTTTTCTATTTTTATGGAAACTGTAGATGTTCCTTGCCTGAAATTCTTTGATCTTTTTTGTTTAATTATTGTCATTTTTCATGATTGGTTGTTCGGATATTATTATCAATGATGTTAAATACTTAATATTATTTTTGAGTAAAATTCCGTCATCTCAAATTATGATGTGGGTTTTCATGTTATTTTTTTCAACAGGGACCTGGAGGAGATAAGCCAGCAGCAGCAACAGCACCTACCACTACTGCTCAACCAGTCGAGTAAGTATATTTTGAGATCATATTTCTTTTGCTAAATGATCAGCATTCAGGTGGTATAATATTTGTGTACCTTTGTTTGATCTATTAAGTACTTCCAAGAAGTCCAAGAAGTCCAAGGAGTAACAAGTAAGATCCCCTACTGAAGATTGATGATCGACTGTGACTTAATATATAGAATGTTCAAGTAATTTTGTCGAGCCAGTGTGCTGTTTTTGGTTAAATATTTGAACCAGTTCTTTTAGTTGGATTAAGGTTTCATGATTTTTGTTTTCAGTTTACTGGTTTTGTCTTTGGATTATTTATATTATGGCAAAATTATTTTGTGGTTTCGTTGATTTCTAAATCACTCATTCATTAATACCTTTGTAAAATGTTTGCTACCTGCCCCTTTTGAAAAACCACGAAATTAAGGTAGGGAATGTAGGGAAAAAAAGGTCTGAATTTTTATTGCGCTTTCTGGGTTCTTAGTAGATGTAACGTGCATGGATTATGATGAACAACGCATGACGCGCAAGGGGTTTGATATGGTTGCATGGCTATAATTCAAACGTTAGGATCATATCCTATTTTTATATGTACTTATTATTTTTGCGTTCCAAAAGGAGAAGCAGATCTAAGGAACAATAATTTTTCGACTATTCCTAGCTCTTTGTGCAAAGGAAATCATGAAAATGCTAGGAAAGGAAAGGGAAATAATAAAACGGGTATGTCTACTACACCACGGTGATTTACTGGATATAGTAGGGGTTTGATGGGGGCAGCAGTAATAAAAAATATAAGGACTGACTTAATGTCATTCTGAAAGTATCATTTTGTTCCAGCAAAATATATAACTTCGCACAGCAAATCCTTTTGATATGGTTTTGATTTAACAATTCATGTTGTGATGGGTAGGAAAGAAAGAGGAAGAAAGGAAAGTCTGAAAGAAAAAATTAGTCTCTGTTTTTTTCATTTTTTCTTTATTTGGATAAAAGTAAAGTAAGAGAAAAGAAAGAAAATGACAGAATTTACACATTTTTTTTCGATATAAATTCAATTCTTACAAATGTGAAAAATAAAAATCCATTCAACTTAAACTAACAATTTTATTTACAATTTTACTTTTAATCTATTTTTTTCTTTTTCTTTTTAATTTTTTGTATCAAATGCAAAGCAAAAAATTTTTCTTTCTACTTTTTTTTTCTTCTTTACCCCTTCCCCATCCTTCCATTTTTATTTCTTCTTACCAAGTGTATGTGTCACGGGTCGAGACTCAAGCTCCGAACTCGCGTGACTCCAGGACCCGGGCATTCATCCTTCCGGTGTCTCAGATCAACCTTCTCGTCACGGTTTACACCCTTGTGAGGTATTGTCCGTTTTGGCTCCCTGCCCTCACGGTTTTGTCTTACAAAAAGCGCCTCACAAGGCGGAGATGGTGTGAATCCTTTTATACCCCAAGGACTCTTCTATTATGTTCGATGTGGGATTCAGGACTCCCCTTTAGGTCCGTGACATTCTCCCGCATCCAACCTCGTGACGTCTTTGTCACGGAGGCCGGCCACCCTGTCTACCTCCCTCGAGGCGCTCGGCGTGGATCGAACGGTTTATGGCTGACTTTGATACCACTTGTCACGGGTCGAGACTTAAGCTCCGAATCCGCGCGGCTCCGGGACCCGGGCATTAACCCTTCCGGCATCCCAGATCAGCCTTTTTGCCACGGTTCACACCCTTGTGAGGTATTGTCCGCTCTGGCCCCCTGACCTCACGGTTTTGTCCTACAAAAAGGCGCCTCACAAGGCGAAAATGGTGTGAACTCTTTTATACCCCAGTGACTCTCTTATTATGTTCGATGTGGGATTCAGGACTCTCCTTTAGGTCCATAACATATGCGAATGACTACATATAATATAGTATACCGAAACTGCCGCTTCTAAAGGGAAAATATTAAGACTTTTAATAGGTAGCTTTTTTTTTTTTTTGGGGGGGTACTGTACAGCACTTCCGTTGTACGCTCTAACGTGGGATGAAACATGATGGATAGATTAATCATTCGGGTAGGGTTGCTGCGGATCCCAAGTTTGACGAGGAATGTTGATGTGCGTCCTCCCATCAGATTTACAAACCTGATTCGACATTTGAACAAGCTATAAGCCGTCTGTCATCGACTCCGTCTGTCATCGACTCCATACAGGTGGGCAACAATTTTCCATTTTTCCTCAATATAAGCTCCCGTAAGCCTGGAAAAAAAAATGGTATCTTTCAGTTTTGGAAATTATTTCTAATTCCTCCACTTCAATTTTTTTATCTAGATTTTCTAATGTCACTACATTTGATTAGTTGTTCAAACAAAAAAAAAAGATTTCTAGAAATAGGAAGGAAGTGAATATGTTTAAGAAACTAATTTTGATAATTTTAACATAATTTTGTAAAAAAATAATATATAGACTTGCTTCAACAAAAAAGAATGTTTGATTTTCAAAAAAAAGAAAAAAAAAGGACTCATTTGTTTGACAAATTATTGGGCCTATGTAATTTTTAGAGTACTAAAAACCTAAAAAAAATTGGGTTGCTGTGAATGCACAACTAAAAAAAACCCAAATGAAGAAGAAGATTTTAAAAATCAAGTTTGACTAATAATCTGTTGATAATAATTTGAGTTTTTAACAAAGCAACTCCATGAATCTTCAATAAAATGAACTAATCTCTCATTTATTCATGATTCAATCAAAAATTGACATTATTGATTTTCAACTTGTTTATTTTATTTAATTAGATTGAAAAAGGAATAACATTAAACAAGTTCATGACAATGAAACCCGTTTGCATATATTGCAACTTAAAAGAAAGCAATTAGAGCATCAAAATAAATGTTGCCCAATCACTACATTTTTTTCGAGATGGAGATATATTGAAGAAAAATCTTTCAGATTAAGAAAGTAAATTCTCATGCCGATCAATCAAAATTATCTGGGAAAAGGCCTACTGTCATTGCCGCATTAGTTGGTAGTGTGTCAACAAAGCCTCACTCTCGTGTGGTGCTGCTTCAAAGTCTTCCGCTTAATCCAAACAATAACAAGTTACAAAGTTTTTTTTTTTAGCCCTTGGGAAGGTAACAGGATTCTTGATTCTATCTTTGATTTTGATCTTGATCTTGCTTTTCCAATTAATCATTGGCATAGCTATATGCTAACCATGCTTATCTCATGAACTGTTGATTTTGGTTTTTCGATCATGAATTATTTTTAAATTATAATAAAATATTAGATATGATATTTGGATTTTAAAATTTTTAATATGATATTTAAATTATAAATTTATTAATGTGATACAACATATGATTGATAAATAATTTTTTAAATATTATATTAATTAATAAATTTATAATTTAAGTATTATATTTAAATATTTAAAATTAAAATATTAAATTAAATATTTTATTATACTTTAAAAATTATTTGTGACGTTATACCTTGAAATTAAAATTAGATGGAGCCCATTGCGTATTTGACGTCTTGTGCATGGCGGCATCCACATGATTTAACTGTTTGTATCTAATTAATCATTTTTATAATTTAATACAGGTTGAAATCACGAATGATTAGTTAACTTTTAACGGTTCAACCCATGTCAACCACAAGGTGTAGTGGCCAAGAAAAGACGTCTCCCATAATTCCACTGTTTCGGGTTCAACCAAGGACCCAACTCTCTGTTATGCTTTTTTTTTTTTTTAAACAAGAAATTTTAGGTGATTTTAAGATCAAAACACATCATAATTTTTAATGGGGGTTTGCATTAAATTAATAAACCGTCCATCAAAAGAAACTGTTGACAATAAATACCAAATTTAATTTAAATTTTACAAGTGAATATTCAATTTTTATTAACTTAATCGATTTTCATTGATACCTCTTCGGTACTTTTCATAGTATATTCCATAAGGATTTTCTTTCTTTTTGTTTAGTTTTAGTTATGCAACTTCATTTCAGCATATTTATAAGGTCAGCAGGAATCCCTGGGTGCTTAACTACTTTAAGAAAATTCTTTAGTTTTGTATAGTTCAATAATTAGAACCAAAGAAGAAAGCAATACTGAATCCAAGAAACTTAATGATTGCATTATTTTGCTGTATGCCATCTGCCGCGTACCTCCAAATGCATGTCCTTATCAATTGTGGTATAGGATTTTTATCAAAATGCAAAGACATATTATTGATCATAATTCGTCATTGTCCTACTAATTAATCACAAATTTTGAAGCAGATGTAAGTCCCTTTTAGGGTCAGATTCATCTGGATTGCCAGAGGTGGATTCCAGTTAACTATCGCATCTGGTTCAAAGTTCAATGTGAAGGTGTGAACAATGATTTTAAGACTTGAGTAAGGGCTCATAATTCGAATGCGTCTTTATCGTCTAACTCTCATACAATTGGGTTAGAAAATCGTACTTTCATGACAGGTGTTGGGTGTATTTTTTGGCAAAAGTGAGGTCAAGTTAGGCAACCCTTCGTAGCATTAATGTAATAGTTATCCAACATCAAGTTCTAAACTAGCTAGTTACGTACCAGGACTTCCAAGCATCTATAAAAGGGACGTCCCTTGGCCTATGAAACTCATCATACTCTAATCTACATTTCAATCGAGAATGGCCAGAATGTTCTTGAGGTCTTATATGCTATTGCTCCTCGTCCTTGACTTGGCCGTAGCCCCATGGTCAGAAGGGCTGAACCAAGGGCAAGAGCAACCTTGTTCTTTAGCCGCTGCATCCATATCAATCCAATACCATGGAGGCCCTCTCTTGACCAAGCCAAATGGCATTAACGTTTACCTCATTTGGTATGGAGGATTCTCTCAGAAAGATAGAAACTCCATAACTGATTTCTTTGCTTCCTTCACGGGCCCTGGTCCTCACCAAGGACCTTCTGTTTCGACATGGTGGAGAACGATCAGTACATACAAGGACAAAGCCGGGAAACCAGTGTCCAGCACTGTTAGACTTGTCAAACAAGTTGGTGATGTATATTCTTCAGGGAAGACCCTGAAGCGTGCCCAAATAGCCAACTTTGTCGAAGGCAAAATAGACAGCAAAATCTTTCCGCTAGACTCTAATGGAATATACTTAGTTTTGACTGCTAAAGATGTTAACAGTAGAGCGGTTCAGTATGGGATCTTGCGGTTTCCATGACAGCATAACGATAGGGGCAATGGCTCGAGTGGTATTTGCACACATAGGAGACCCTAGGTCAAATGTCCGGGTCTTTGTGCATGGCCTTATTCTCTGCCTGCTTATGGCCCTCCAGGCCAAGCCTTGGTGGCACCGAACGGTGTTGGAGCCGATGGCATGATTATAAACGTTGCTACCCTT